TAATCCCTAATATTGAAATTTTTGAGATTTGATAAAATAAAAACATTTTTTTTCCAATTTTTTTACTCATGAAATTTATTGAGCTAACGATCCGTGACGTCACAATTAAGTAATGTAACTTACTAGACTACAAATAAATTATAGTATTTTTTTAGTTAAGAATCGCTTTTCGCTCTTAAATTAAACTTCAACAGCCAAACTAATCAATCACTCAGTAGTTTTCGTTACTGACATTGTGACCGTACGGTAAATCCTATTCTGATCTATATCGTAGAGCGATAGAGTCTATAATTGTGTGCTAAATTTTGTCATTATAAAACGGGCTGTCTCATTACGTGCCAGTTAACGCTAAAGCGTTCGGTCTTTGTTCAAGTAGATGCGAGTGAACCGTGTTTCTAATTAGCGTATCTAGCATATGCTGAGATTAATTGCGTAGTGTCCGTGGCAGCTTGGTCATATTTAACACGGAGTGGTCTACGTCGCCTCCCCAGCGTTGCTCACTGCACTCTTGGCATTAATGGAGAGCCACAATAACTTGTGCATGCGACTATGATAGTAAAAAGGAGCGTTACGCCCTTTAATATTTTATATAGTCTTATGTATATAAGCCATACCTCCTTTAAAGCAGGCTCGTGTTTCTTAGAATGGGTGGAAGGATTATGACATCCATAACAGTATGTAAAATGATACCAGTGGTGCCGCGGCTTCTTTAAGTATTCTTAAGTTTCAAAACCAGACAAAGTTCAATATGTAGTTAGGCATTGAAAAAAAAATGCTATTATACAATTGAATTAGAAATATTTTTTATATACGTTGGCTTTATTTTGATTTGCTTCACTAATATTTGTCTCGAACATTGGTTTTGTGTTAAAAAGTTTGTCCAATATAGCGACGTCAGGGCTTGTTAGGTACGCACTGTTGGCGTCAGATCCGCGGTTTGTCAATTCACCCCATTTATTGGTACCAGACATATTTGTGTAATGATGCTGCAGTGTGTCGGTGACGGACATGTGTACACTTGGTAAAGTTCTTACTCAATTTTATATATAAACAACTAAAAATGTTTTAAATTAAGTAGCTTATAGTATGCATTTTTTGTACCTATATCTCGGTTCCTAAAGAAGGCGTTATTTATGTTAATAATAAATTTTAAACATAGGAATTAAACAAATGAAGTTCGTGAGCAAATCGAATGGTTAATTACCGCCGTATGTTATTTTTTCTAAAAACAAATAAGAGTTGAATATCAGCGTGAGTTGAAATACACTTATAAAAATATTGCCATCCTTTTCACTCTTCTTTGAAAAAAATGAGGTAACCAAGACGTATAGAGAAGAAAAATAAAAGATGTCCGTTCGCAGCGCTTTATCGGCGACTGCCAGCAAGCTCTGGCCGCGACGCCTGTCAAAAGCACAACCGCAGTTCTTACGCTGTCACGTTTCGTTTTATAATGTTTTTTTTATTTAGGACGTCTTTCATTTATTTTACTTTTGTTATTGTTCGATTTTTGAAAATTTAATAGGCATTTTTTCTAAAACAAACAGAATATCATATAATATTGAGATACTTGGCCGTTTGTAAGCAATGTAAATATATGTTAGTCATACATATTTCTATAAAAACGATCACCTGTCGTTACTGATAGGATACATAAAGCTTACTAAAGGGTATATGTTATAACGATTTCGGATGTGTGGCATAAAGTTGTACGATGGCAATGTTCGCTGCTCAATAACCGCGAGCCATTTCTGACTCAATCATAAACCGCTTTATATGCAACTATCGTACTATTATACTAACCGGCGGTTAAGACGCGGCGTTTTACACGCCTTACTAAGAACTGATATGTGTTTTTAAATTGAAAAAACTTGCCAAAAAATCACATTATCGAATCACACCGCGACGTAACACGATCAATATTAAATTCTCCGTAAAAGTTAGATATTTAAAAAAGACCATCACGACAAATTGAAATTATTTTTTTTTATAAAATAAATATTATTATTATAATCTCTTTGTAATACTCATTATACTAGTCATAGTTAAACTTTAACTTTTACTTTTACTAGTCAAAAGCATTATATTCAAATAACGACCAATAAATCGTTCGTTTGTTTAACGCTTCGGCCATTTGAAAGCAAGACATCGCCGTATGTGATTTACACAGAATCTGTACATTCCTTGTCTGGCGAATTTCCTATAGAATCAATTTATATTGATTGTCACGTGTTCAACAGTTGAATAACTTGCAGATGTATCGACACCGTGATACATACGTATTACAAGCATTATGTTTTTTATCTACGGTAATATTGAACACTTATATTCAATTACAAACATGAAATAGGAATATCCGCTACCTTTCTAAGTACAAAATTGTAAAAGGATTTTACAAGTACGGCTAAGGCTAGTAATAATCATTTTGAGTTTGTTTTGTAATATAGTATAAACTAGCGCTTGCGACTAACCACGATGCCTCCTGATGTAATATTAAATGTCGCACGTATTACTTTGGTAATTGCCTATTGAACTCTAATTATTCCACTGTCGAAATGGGCAAGGAATGGAATCTTATATTACGATTCATAATGTAAAATAAATCGCATGTATCCTCTAGTGTAAAGCACATAACCCCCGACGTCGATTTAAGAAAGGCAACGTGTCGTGGATGTTACTTAAATACTTTTGTTGTTTTTTTTTACTATATTTACTTTTGTTTGCGAAAATTATTTTAAGCAGACATTATACAACAATCGTTTACTTCTCAGTTGTTAATGATTTCTTAAATAGCCGCTCAGCGTAGATATAAAATCTTACACTAACTGTCTCCTTAAGTGACCGTTTAAAGACTCAGAGTACAGCAGTTAGTATTATTGTGTGGATCTTTTCATGGCGTTTGTCTTCTATTGTTTTAATTTAGTCATTAAGGTCCGGGTCAAACATTCAATTCACGCATCGGACTGTTACAATTAATTTATTGTTGTTTCGAACTATTTAAAAGCTGTCATAATCAATGTTCAAGTTGATTTATTTTGAACAAATTGTTACGGTCATATTGGACTGTTTAGTAAGATTAATCAAATTGCGACATTTCTTAACAAAGATCAAAACGAAAAGAAACGTACGTTTTTTTGAGTTTTCAAGTACTTATCTAACATATCTAAATAGCATTTAGTAAAAGTCCTATCAAAATTGGTTTGGGCCAAAAGATCAACTATTGGTCGTTTCGTAGATTACCCGGAACTAACTTGGATTAGCGGACAGACAGACAATGAAAAGAGAGCAAATTATATTTTTTTTAAAACACTACAAAATATAAAAAACTATAGATAAAATAATTATAAATAAATGTTAATTTATAGTAATTTAGTATTGTTATCTGTGATTATGTAATACAATACTAGTTATCGCCGGCGACTCTGCCCGCGCGGATTTAAAAAACCGTCTTCTTCTAGACTATGTTCTACATCTTTGCTAAATTTCAGCGAGCGTTCTTGATATACCTGCAAACTTACATCCGTCCATCCAGCCATTTATCCATTCTCTTTTAAATTATTAGTAAGAAGTAAGGTTTGACTTTCATAATTATTTATTATGTTTTTATCGCGTGGTAAATATTAATATTCAAAATGCATAATTATATACAGCATTTTAACAATGACAAAAGACATTTTTTTTTGACTTATACATCAATTTACATTTTCAAATACGACAGATTTATACAGATCGTAAGAAAACTAAAAACAATGCTATGCAAACTTTATGGCGGCTTGCTAGATGGTACAAGCCGCGGGGCACAACACAATTTTAGGTATCGGCTTAATAAACCAATTATTATGAAATGGTATGGACTGTAATTGAAGTTAACATGAATTTTAGTTATTTAGACCAAACAATGGCCTCATCATAATTTTTTTTTATATTAAATATAAGGTGGCAAACGAGCGAGCGGCTATGTAAAATCGCTAAAATAGGGAATTGACCGTCGCCCATAAATATCGACAATCGCAGATGCCATCGAAGAAGGAGGGGATGTACAGAAAGAAAACATTTTCTTTTCCCATGCATCACCGCATCTGGAAAATCTAATTTCACTTCCCATCATTTACTTATAAGAAGGTGATAAGTGAAAGAGGACTGAAATTAGGCCTCCGATACGCACACTAATCAGACGTAACGCGGAATTGCTTCCACTTGACGCCTGTCTTCTGTGTGGTTGTGGTATTTCACGGAGCGAGCCGGGCCAATTCGTGAGAAGATGTTAAAGCGGGTTCTACCACTATTGAAATTTTAAAATAAGAGTAGATTATACGGTTACATAGAGCGAGGAAATTAATTACGTGAAATATACCAGTATTGTTATAAATCAATACACATGATTTTACATACATCAATGTTTATGTTACCGGAAATATATGAATCCTAGAAATTATATACAATTCCTAGGAAATGTGGAAAATTCCAAAGTTATTTAGGAAATGGATAAAATGATGTTGAAACATTATTTAATCCTGAAGGATTAAAACTCACAAAATATATAAATGTGTGCATTTCCTAGGAATTGTATAAAATTTCAGTATTGTGCTAGAAAATGTATAAAAATAGTGTTTTCGAGGAATTAAAAAAACACATTGTTAAAGTGAGAACATTTGATATTTGTAAATAAGTTAAATAAAACACGCCCTTGTACACGCGTAACACGTATGTTTCTAAGTTTGTTTGATATATTGATTCACAAGTGTATGAATTTTCTCACCGTCGGGCTGGTATTGGTAATTTACCAGATTAACTTGGCATCTTCATTTTAACTTTGAAAATATAAAGGGTATTTTATAAATTATAAACATTTCCTAGGAATTTTAAACAATGACGGATTACATATATTTCAGGTAATAATATATATTACGTCATCCGTTTTTGTAAAAGTAAAATTTATTCTCTTTTACATACATACATATATTTTACGTGTTAAATGTTCATTGCATTTTGACGTAGAATAACACAAAGTGAACAACTGAAAGGTTGCGTTCGAGGCGCAAATTTCTAATGGTACAAATAATTCTTACAATTTAATATGTTTTATTACATTTCTTTACTTATAATTAGTGGTCATGTTAATTACGTTCTTTCTGAGTATTACGATTCGTACTCAGGAACGCCTGTTACTGTGAACGAAGTTAGAAAACATGATAAGAAGAATACTACGTTGTAAGTTGATATACTTTTACTATAATTGATATATTGTTGATCAAAAACAAGGAATCTGACGCCAGATTATTGTAGGCAAAGATAACAATATTTCCATTTGGAGCAGACCAGATCATCTCTTTCGTTTCTTGTTCTTACCCATACATATTGTGTGTTGTTTAGTGATGCTCCCTTTATGTCATTTCTTTTGTATGCTACAAATCTGCTCAACATAATTTGTATATTTTTTATCTTATTGACCTCTATGTTTACGTGAATGAAATTGTCACTTTTATAAAAAAAATTCGCGTGCATAATAAGTTTTTTACAATCTCTATTTGTTTTTGTATATATTTTGTACAAAACTGTTCAGTGTCCTTGTTCATGTTTCTTTTAATTACTATGTTTTCTGATAACTCAGATTTGAAGTCTAACTTAAAACAAAAAGTCGTTTAATATTTCTGTCTTTATATGATCTTTGTTTTATAGGAAATGTTTTCTAGTTTGTGATTTGCTATTTGCTCTGTTCAACTTACTTATTTGCTTATTTTTAGTTGGTGCATAAACCAGATCGAGCCGTGTGTAGCTGATGAGTGGCGGCGTGTGGACGGCTCCTGTAACAACCTGCACCAGCCTACCCGGGGCGCCTCGCACACGCCTACCTATAGACTACTTCCACCTGTTTATACCAAAAGTAAGTATCATCATAAGTTCTCTTTATCAATTCAGTCAGCGCTAGTAACAAGGAAGAGAGGTGATACTAAGCGTTGTTATTGGTACTTTTCTATCTATTATATGTCTTAATAAAGTGGCTAATGCAGGTGGTACTTGAGACGATGTTTGGCGACTATAATGCCTAGGCCTTTTTAACAGTGGTAGAGCCCGCTTTAACATCTTCGCACGAATTGGCCCGGCTCGCCCGGTGAAATACCACGACCACACAGAAGACAGGCGTGAAGTGGAAGCAATTCCGCGTTTCGTCTGATGAGTG